ACAGTTGTTGAAAGGACAACCCTCTCTTCATTGCATTGCTTTGGTGTCTTTGTCCAAAGAGAATTGGCCACATTTGGTGAGACTAGTCCTGGAATGTCTCCTCTGATCTATTTGTTTGTTTGCCTATCCCTTCACCATTGTCACACTGACTTTTGTTTACTGTAGCTTTATACGTTTTAAAAAGAGGTAATGTGATTCCCCCAACTTTACTCTTTTCGCGATTGTTTTGGCTATCCCCGTTTCTATTATTGTCCAGATATGTGTTAGAATCAGCTTGTCTGTATCTAGAACACATCCTGCTGGGGTTTTTATTGGAATTACACTAAGTCCATAGATGAATTTCAGCAGAATTGACATCATTATTATGTTAAATATTCCAATCCATGACCATGGTGTGTCCCTCCATTTATTTGGGTGTTGTTTCATTTCTTCGCTGTTTCCCCGTTTTCAGCAGGTGCGTGTCCTGTTCATTTGCACACTACTTTACCCGCTTCCTACCTGTTTTCATGCGCGGGCCACACACCAGCTGCTCACAGCTGCCCTGGGAGCTGAGCCCGGCAGGCTGAGCACATGCTCCTGCCCCTACTACCCAGGTGAGGAAACTGAGGCCTGGAGAGATGATGCGACTAAGAATGCTGGCCCACTGGACCGCAGAGCTGGGACACCCTCAGAGTAGCCTAGTCCAATCCCACGCTGTGAGAGGTGGGACCTCTAAGGGACAGAGAGAGAGAAGGCAGGGCCAGGCCACTTGTGGAGGCGGTGGCAGAGCGGGGCCAGAGACCTCAGGCAAGTGGGTTCCCTACTGTGATTCTGTTCCGTCATGTGTGCCACGAGGAACAGTAACTAGGTAATCGCAGAGTATCGGCGAGGTTGGAAGGAGACAGTGCACCAAAGTGCCGGGCCCAGGGCCTGACGGTGATGGTGACAAAGACGAGGAAGAGGAGGAGGAGGAGCAGAATGGATGCCCAGGAAAGTGCCAAAACAGATGTCTCCAGGGGCTGGGACGGATGGCATTGGCAGGACCCTTCACCGTGTAGGGGGAACCTCAGGGGCGGGAAGCCATGAGCCGGGGGGGGGGGCGGTTTCTGGCTCACTGAAGGGAGATGGGGAGTGGTGTGGGCAGTCTGGGAGGGCGGGCAGGTGGGTGTCATCAGAGAGTGAGGAGAGGGGGAGGTGTCACCCCCAAGACACTGTTGAGCCCCTTGGAGGCAGTGGCGGCAGAGTGCAGTGAGCAGAGCAATACCTCTGAACTCAGAGGGTTCTGGGTGCCAGGCCCAGCGCTGCCTCTTCCCGGCTGTGTGCTCGAGGGCGGGCGTCTTCGCTCTCGGAACCTCTGTCCTCATCCGTGGAATGGGCCTGATCATCCCCTCCCCTCAGGGATGTCTGGTAAACAACACATAGGCCCGTACAGGACATGGTAAGGGAGCAGTCGGAAAACTGTATGCGTACTAGTCAATAACTGGAAACAAGTGAACCGAGGAATTCTTGTCCACCGCCAAGAGTGAGAGGAGTCCGAGGGCACAGGCCTGTGTGGGGAAAAACGCTGTGGAGCTGCCCAGGCGCCCGCACACCTCATCCGAGGGCCCGGTGCGCAGTAGGTTCTCAGGAAACACTTGGGGAGCCTGTGGAAGGCCCGGGGCTGGGGGAAGGTGGGAGGCCTGCCTTGGTGTCACGGCAGCCCTGTGAGGGAGGAGGTGGGCCACCTCCAAGGTGACCAGCCTGGCCGTCCTGGGGGACCCACAGTCTGGCTGCATTCCCCAGGGCCCTCCAGCCTCCTCCCTGCTCTCTTCCTCCCTGACTGCCCTGCAGGGTGTTGGGGGAGTGGGCCCCTGGGGGGACAGCTGTGGGGAAGGGGTGTGGACAGGGGAGAGTGCTGTAAGCCTGCAGGCCTGGGGACTTGGTGACGTCCCAGCACCCTGTCTCTGATGGCTGCCTTCTCCTCCTTTCCAGATGAGCTGTCATACCTCAAGTGCCTTCTGCACACAGTGCTCAAACTCACACCTGTGGCTCTCGTGGCAGCCCCACATGCATCCTTGAAAAGGCATGTGCCTACTGGGTGCACAGCAGGTCCTTGGGAGTTTCCCAGGTGGAGGGTGCCAGAAATGTCATTTATCATTCATCACCCAAGGGCATTCATCACAACCCAGGCATCCATCAGCCCTCACCCCGACATCTCCAGCCTGCACCTGGAAACCTAAAGGGGACCCCATTTCATTCGGAATCACAGTGTCCATTTGGCTAAGCAGGGACCCAGCAGCCAGGGAGGCAGAAATGACAGCACTGGGCAAACAGACAGAATCCCTCCTGAAGCCTGTCTTTAAGGGAGGGGTGCAGACAGAGCCAATTTCCTGGGGATGACACTTATGCAGCCCCACAGGACCCTGCGCTCAGAAGGGCTCCACACACGATTCAAGGCTCTGCAGTTGTTCTCTTGGAATTCTTAATAATTTGTGAGTAAGGGGACCCACGTTTGCGTTTTCTACTGGGCCCAGCAAATCACGCAGCTGGGTCTAGGTCAGGATCCAGGTCTGGCCAAGGGAGGAGGACCTCTTCTCAGGGAAAAGAGGCAGTGGGGGTGGGGGGCAGGGGCCCTTTCACTACTCTGTCCCTCCTCTTACCCTGGGGCCTTGTCCTCCCACCATGTGGACATCACTCAGGCACCTGAGGCAGCTCCAGACACTGTCCCCGCCCACTATGGAGCCCTTCTCGGGGGACCTCTGTGTCTCTGCCCTCCCTGTTGTCCACTGGAGAAATTGCAGAACCAGCCGCACCCCCCGCAAGCATCACGCAGCTCTTGAAAACGCCAGGGCCTAGGCCCGGCCTTGGCCTCACTGGCACAACCCTGCTTCCATTGAAAGGCTCCCAAGCCCCAAACAAGCCTCAGGTCACCGCCACAGGCAATGGGCTTTCGAGGTCTATGGCAGCTTTGATTTCATGAAATCTACTCTCAGCAATAATGACCTTCCTTCCACCTGCTGGAGGGGAGAGGACGTCACCTTGAGGCCTACCTCATTGTCCTTATGGGTCTATCCGAAGGATGACGTCCTGAGCTTGTGTGGATGACGATGGAAGGGTTCGAGGCTGGCACCTCCACAGGTGGGGGCGGGGAGGTGTGTCCTGGTGGGTGACTGTGGATCCTGCCCCTTGGTGGGAGGGAGAGTGGCACCAACGCACAGCCTCCACCCCACCCCTTCCCCTGCTTCCCGCGCCCCCTCCCCATCGTGGTCTGACTGGTGCTGCACCGTGCAGGAAATCACGAAACTATGTGGACCAAAGCCTCTTGAAACTCATGATCTCCACACTCACAGGTGCCTCCACATCTCCTGGCGCCCTGCCTCCCTCTCTGGTAAAGGCAAGCCCCCTGACCCCATCCCAGAGAGCCGACCATGGGCCGCTCAGAGCACAGGTAATGGAGGAAATGTCCCAATTCGTTTTGCAACTTTAATGTGACACTGATACCAAAAACACGACAGCACGACAACAGCACACGATGAAAGCAGGAGAGCGCAGAGAGCTTTGTCTTGCACGCCATCTCCGATGGGCAAGCAGAGGCGGCCTAGACGGCCGTGTGAACACGGAGTCTGAGGGGGCACTCTGGCTAGATGAGTGATTGCTGCAGTTCGTCAGCGTTGTCTGCAAACGCAGGACACGGGAGCAAAAATAAGCGGAAATACAGGTGACACAGTGAGGGATATAAAGAACAAAACAAGGGTCTGCCCACATTCTCACTGCTTCCCCCTCCCCATGCCAGGCCTTCTGCTGACTTCTCGCTGACTTCTGCTGAGCCCCTCCCGGTCCGCCCTCCAGAGTCTCACTTGTCGCCCAAAAACCTTACTGGATCCAAGAGAAGAAGTTGGCACTCGTTCTGGCGGCATTTCTGGTCCGGATGGTGGAACTGGTGCTAGGGCCATCTAGGATGCTGGTGTTGGCCCCACCATTGGTGCCACTGCTGACGCCAGCTCTCCAAGTGGCTCTCCCATTGGCACGGTTGCTGTTCAGAATGTACTGATGGTATCTGGCCCAGAAAGCAAAGGGGATCCTGGCCCAGGCGTCGCCAAAATCTCCGTCCTCATCCCAGGTCAGGAGCTCCACCTGTATGTCATCCCAGCTCCACCGTCCAATCAGAGCTTCATCCCCGATGTTCATCTGGGCCCTCATCTGGGCCCTGGCGTGTTCCTCAGCCATATCCACATCCATCGTCTTGAAAGCATCATCCACAGCCTCCAGGAAATGGGCCCTCCATTCCCGGGGGTCTCGGTTCTGATACTGCAATGTAATAACACCAACCATCCTAACTGCTCTCCCACATTTGCCGAGCACCTGCTTCCCACTGGACACCCTCCTGTGCAGTGTGCGTGATCACAATAAAAAGAAAGACCACTTTTTTTTTTTTTTTTTTCTGGAGCCGAGCTCCTCCTCTTCTGGACCAGGCCTGGGATTTCGCCCCCATCCCTCACGTGCACTGTGTCTGCGAACTTGGGCAAATCACCTTGGAACCTTTCTGAGCCTCAGTGTCTGCACTGGACACACAAATGGCATAGGGAGCCCATGATCGAGAAACAGACAAGGTATGGGAAGTGCCAGCCCCTGGGCCTGGCCCCCAGCAGAGGCTCTCCATTACCTGGGCAATAAATCTCAGCACCCTCATCTTGCTGGTCTCGTGGCGGGCCCGCAGGCCCCAGAGGAATTCATACTCGGGGGGGCTGCTGTTGGGGATCTTCTTGTATTCCAGGTACCTCAGTGGAGAGGAAAATAAACTTTTGCCTCCAGCCAGGGAGACCTGTTGTCTCACTAATGGCTCCCAGGGGGCCCCTTTCCGGTCCCAAGGCAGCAGCTCAGCTCCTGCAAGAGGCCTGCCCTGACCCTCCAGCCGGTGCCCCACTCCCAAGCTCACTCTCAGGGTTTCTGCCTCCAGTACTGAGGCCTTCAAAACCCTGGGCTGTCCATTCCTGACTAGCAGCCACAGGGAGGTGTGTGGGCGGGGGTCGGGGGGAGGAAGCACATGTAGTGTGTTTGTCCATAGTAAGACCACGGTTTTGTGCCCCTTGTCACAACGATTCCCGGATTCCTGGTGGGTGTGTCGTAAACCGTGGAGCCATTTCTTCAGGCCCCCTGCTCTGAGCACGCCCCACCACAGCGTCTTGTCCGTGGCCTGGCTGAGCGCTGGGACAGTCTACCATGGAAAAGGACTGTGAAGGGAAGAAACGGTCCACCAAAAGCAGCGTACTCCATATGCACTCCCGACCGTGTGAGTGCACACGTGTTCTCCGGGGCCAAGGATTGGCTGGGCCCTGGCCAGTAAGTCAGAAGGGCTGGGCTCTGGGCTTGAGTGGGCCCTTTACCAGCGAGGGCCACGCTCAGACTTCCACTCTGGAGCCCCAGGTTCCTGGTATGTAAAGCAGGGGATATTCTCCTGCAGCCTGCAGAGCAGGTGCTTGGATGGTGTGGTGGTTGTAACACACCCCGCACCATGTTCTCAACCAACACGTGCTCCCTTTCCCCAAGAATGCCCTGGCATTCTAAGCCCCCTGGCTCTCACGGACCCCCACCCACACTCACCCCAGAGACTCCATCCCTCCTGTGTTAAGACCTAGGACCGGGAATGGCTTCCTCAGCCAGACCAGCACAAGGAAGTCCCGAGTGTGAGAAAAAGTTACCTCGGCCAGTACTTACTTCTGCTTCACAAAGTCGTCTGTAATGAGCTTCCTCAGATCGCCAAGGAATGGGTGCCTCACCCTGGGGGCAAGGAAAGGAGTCCATGACTAGAGCCAGTGGCAGTGCCCGGACGTGGGCAGGAGCACTCGCTACCAGGATTGAGAACTTCCTGGCCCATGGGGCAGCCCCATGAGGCCTGGGCATGCAGCAGAGGTCCAACAGCAATGGCCGACATAGGGGTTTGATGGAGCCCCAAATTCTGATGGTTTCTCCTAGATCTCCTCTGGGGACAGAGAGGGAACATGGAGCAGAGAGGGGGCTGAGAGTTCAGGACCATTTCGCCATGCACCCTGGTGAGGCCCTTTGCACTCTGCCTAGTCCAGGACGCCCACTCCCCTGCACCAGACCATCAGGTTGTTGCAATCCTGGGGCTTCCTGTGCCCAAGGACAACGCTGAGGGGCAGTGAGAGCCCAGAAAGCCCAATCATACCCAGGGCGCAGTCCCATCTTGCGTAGTGCCTCCCAGAGGACAGCTGCCAGGGGAGATGAGGTACAAGAATTTGAAACACGAAGGTGAGACGAGGGGGTGGAGGCAACCCCCCACCTGCAGGCCCAGCCACTCACCCTCGCTGGCACGGTTGCCATTCATGAAGATGACTCCCAGAATCACCAAGAGGAGACTCAGCCTGGGAGTGTCCTTGGTCCTAAAGGTGTAGAAGGAAGGATCCTGTCCAGCAGCCATTTGCCCAAGAGACCACAGTCCGCTCACCCAACTAGCCTCTCCCAGACTGCTCCACTCGCTACAGGCCAAGTCTTCCCTCTCTGCGCATGGCTTGCTACCTGATCCAGACAACTCATTCCTCCTCCGCTTGCGACTGCATCACTTCATCCATCAGATGTGGATGCTAACACCCCCTCCCAGGATTCTGCCAAGGACAGGACTGGGCAGCGGGGGCAAATGCTTGCCAAAGCTGTGTCCAGAGGCTCACCCACACCTTCCCTGCCCTTTGCCCATGGGGCCTACACTGGTCAGAAAGCTCCCCCGGGACCAACCACTCTGCCCAGCCCAGGCCAGGCACTTTGCAGGAAGAGGAGAGCACCAGGAAGCCTGCTTGCTTAGAAGGAAGGAGGTGGGTGGGCAGGGGTGGAATCCTGGCCTCGCCCGTCTGGTAATCACTTGACACCTGTAGGTGGGCACTGTGTTAGGCCCTCCAGCCCTGTTTTCCTGTTTCTCTGAGAGGAGGGGGAGGCACCAGCTGGGAAGGCCACAACCCTCCTGCCCTTTCTCACTTTCCCAGGAGGCGAGCTGAAGAATCCTGTGTGCAGACAAGAATGTACAGATGTTCTTCCTTGTCGATCTCCTTCAGGTGGATCCCGAACTTCTACACGGGGAGAAAACAAGCCTGTGAGGTCAAAAGCCCAGGCCAGATGTCCTGCAGGCAGTCTCTCCATTCCCTGCCAGAACATTTCCTAGGCAGGGAACCCAATGTCGTGGGGGAGGACGGAAGAGAGGGTGCAGAGGAACTGGCCCGTGGGAGCTCTGGCACGGGCCGAGGCAACGGGACCCACTGCAGGAGACAAGAGACCTCCGAGAGCACGAGGGAGAGGAAGTATGCAGTGGGAGCTCGCAGGTGGAAAAGCTAGGCAAGGCTTCCAGAGCAGGCAGTACTGACACTGGGCCCCCAAAGAGTGCAGGGTACAAGGCTTCCCTGCCGCTCACGTTCCACAGAGCTGCCCCCCATCCCCGCACCCACCTTTTCCAAGGTGTATGTTGCTCGTTCAATGATCTCTGGGAAGTGTTCGTCGTATTCTCGGATGACGTCCTTCAGCATGTCTGCAGGAGGAGATAGGTGGGAAAGCACCTGGGCTGAGCAGGGACCACAGAGTTGCAGTCCCTCGGTCAGCCCTGCTGCAGAGGGGAGCACAGTCAGGACCCCGCGTACTGTGCACTCAGAGCCATCAGGCAAGGCCTGATAGTTGGGGGTACATGATGGGGAGCCCCCTGGGGAGGGTTGGGGGAGGGGGGACGGCAGAGCTCAGGGACGGGGCACAGTTGTCTACCTGAGCGCTTGATGGGGATCTTCTTGTAGTCCTTAATCATCAGATATTTCACCAACTTATTTGCCTGGAGAAGGGGAGGTGAAGGCATGTGTGAGCTCAAAGAACCGGCCAGCAAGGGGGGAGGAGGGAGAGGGGAAGGGCAGACCCCTTACCCTCTCTTGCAGAAGAGTCACGTTGCGGGGTGGCAAGCACAGTACGTGCCTCGAGGGTACCTGGGACCTCAGGGCCACCGGGGGCCGAGGGGCCATCTGAGCCCGCGGGGCCATCTGAGCCCTCACTGTCAATGGGGGCTGCGATGTCCTCCAGGTCGGTGGGACAGCAGGAGGCTCTCTCTCCTCCTCGCTGCTTTCATACTCATCATCCAGGTGCTTGGACTGTAGCATTGGGGAGAGGAGAGACCCAGGGCTACCAAGCTTACTGTGCCCAAGCGCCTGGCAACATCTTCACCAGAGCAGGTACTTGGAAATAAGAGTAGTAGGAACAGCGGATGACATGTGCAGAGGGCTTACTAAGTGCCAGGCACTGAGCCAACCTCTTCTCCCTCCAGGCCAGAGGGTAGCGACTACATGGAGTAAAAACATGCTAGCACACTTGTGTTGTAGAAACTTGGACAAGCTGAGAGAAGAAGTGGGGAGGGGAGGAGAAGGGAAGGGAAGAGACAGGAGGGGAGGGAAGGAGAGGCGAGAGGAGGAGAGAGGAGGAGAGAGGAGGGGAGAGGAGGGGAGAGGAGGGGAGAGGAGGGGAGAGGAGGGGAGAAGCGGGGAGGGGAGTGGAGAGGGGAAGGAGAAGAACAAGGGGGGTTTGGAGAAGGCAGGGAGGTCTCACCTTCTTTGTCCTCTTGCCTCCCATCCTGGCCCAGGGCTCAGCACTGTTCTGAGCAGTAGCAGCTGCACTCTCAGGCTCAGGGGCGCTCGTGGCCATCTTGGCCTTGGCAGCAGCTGCTGCCACAACATTCTGAGGCTCCACCCACCGAGTCTTAGCGAGAGCCTTCCCAGACTTGGTTGTTTTGGGCCGGGTGGCTGCCCCCTCCCCGGCAGATGCTGTCTGAGGCACCCGGGAGGCAGCACTGGGGCCCTCTCTGGCCGCCTCTTGGGTTAGGGCAGGCCTCTTGGGGCGTGGGAAGGCTATGCCACTGACACCAGCCGGCTGGGTGAAATCAAAGACATCATTCTGACCCAGAAAGGCTGTCTTGAGCTGGGTGGCATCCACCTCACTGGCACATGGAGCCTGAGAGGAAGCAAAGGCAGTACTGGGACCCTCAGTAGCAGCCTCCCGGGCCTCGGAGGCTGGCTGGGGCTGTGAGGAGGTTGCTGGAGCCCCAGAGGCAGCCATCTCACTGTTGACTGGCATCTGGGAGCTGTGCGGAGAAGCAAGGGTTGTGTCAGGGGTGGCTTCCTGAGCCTCGACCGCATATGTCATGGGCTGGGTATCCTCTCTCAAGGCCTGGTCTGTGGCCAGCGGGTGGTTAGTGACCACCTGATTGTAGATGGCACGAGCAGCAGCGGCAGCAGCCCGAGCAGCGCGGTTGGAGGCGGCAGCTCGGGCTACATTGGCAGCCCGAGCCTCCGCCTCATTGGCAAGTGTTTCTGGATCCAGCTGAAATGCCTCCACCAGAGTCCGGGCCAGCATAGGGTTTTCCAGTTCCCAGGGCTCATTCTGAAAGGCCAGAGAGAAGGGTACAGGAAGGCAGACAACTTTATACACTCGCATCATGCTTCCTTGTGCTGGCCAGCCTCTCCTGCAGGCAGCCATCCAGCCCCCACCACCCGTAAGACCCTCCCCAACCCCCTTTCTCCCTGCAGGAAAGGGAAGGTTTGGTTTGGAGTGGCTAAGCAGTCCTTCCCCATCAACCCTTCCCTCTGCATAAAACCTCCCCTCCCCTCCCAGTTTTGGCAGGGCCAGCAGGTGGCCAAGAAGGGGCCTCACCGCCAAGATGTGAAGGCCTGGACCCAAGCTCCCAAAGGCTCTGAGGAGACGAATGTCAAAGCTGGTAAAGGTGCCATAGCCTCCGAAAGCACCAAATTCTTCATACTCATTTCCTTCAACCATCTCTTCCTCCCCAACTTCATCACTACCCTCATCCATGTCTTCAGCGTTGTAGCTTTCCGATTCCATACGGAAGCTCCCCTCAGCCATGCTGGGGTCCCAAGAAGAAGAAAGCTCAGCCTGAGAGGGAGGGCGAGGCCTCCTGGGTCGGGGGGAGGGATCCAATGGAGGCCTGATCTCTCGGGAGACTGAGGGGGAGGGAGCAGCCGTCATCCCTTTACTAGGCAGTAGGGGTTGGGGGTGAAGTCTGTTGGGGTAGATTCTGTCAGAGTCGGAGCCCTTAGAGGTAGAAGAGATCGGAGAAGACCTCCCCACTGAAAGGTCCGGGCAGGTTCCCCATCCCAGTGGCTTGATTTGAATGGACGGGT